CCACCCATCCACTCCCACACATTCCCTCCGGGGTATCTCTGGGTCCTTAAAAGGGTCTTAAAATAAATTATCCAGAATTAAGGCTTTAAAACGTATTAAAATATCCCGTGCTGGCGACAGCTATCAGATCATTTGTGTTCGCTATGGAATGACAGGTTTCTTCGCTGTAAATGTTCACGCTGAGATTAATACAGGACAGAATTAGCTGTAAAATGCTTCTTTTTTTTCATTGTATCTGCTTTAATAAACACAACTGAGCTTTGTGTCCCTTAACAATTAATTTCCTGTTTTGCTTTATCTTCATCTAGCCAGTTATAGTTGCAGAACTCTCATTAGCTCTGCTCCACTGGAACCAGGCTGTTTTTTTTTTTGCCAGTTATGTCCCTTTACTTTCTTTTTCTAATTTGAATCTTTCTATTCAAAAAAGCCTCATAAGAATGTGCCAGCACTGTGTTCCCTCCTCTGCTGGGTCCTCCGTCTCTCTGTACTGCATCTCATCTGTGCAAAGCAGGGTCAAATTAAACTGATATCAATGGCTTTCCTTGTCTGAATAATGATAAAAGTCAGCTTAAGCTTTCAATCTACCACGGAGATTTGGATGGAATCGATGTGACCCTGTGATTATCACAGCAAAATCAACATTCTATACATCACAGCCTTTGATTTTTTTTTCACACTATTTGTGATTACGATTTTTTTTAAATGCATAAATTAAATCCAACTTCTCTTTCCCTGTATCTCCTCTGCATCATTTATACATTGTCATTTATTTTTTCTCTGTAGTGTAATGTAATATCCATTCTCTTCACCGCCCGTTCTCCTCCTCTCCTCTTCTTCTTCTCTATCCAAGCCTGTGATGATGATCCTACTTTCTTGGCCATGTATGTATGTATTTCTTTTGTTTAACAGGGACATCTGTTTAGATTACGTTTCAAGTAATGAGTGACGAAAAGCACTCGGCTTCTGTCTTTGGTTCTTCTTCTCTCTCTCTCTCTCTCTCTCTCTCTCTCTCTCTCTCTCTCTCTCTCTCTCTCTCTCTCTCTCTCCTGTCTTTCTGCCCTCTGAATTTGCCATCTCTGATCTCGCAGCAGTACAGTCTCTGCTCTGCGGTGTGGAGGCCATCACTGTGAGGAGTTGTCACTCATCATTTTCTTCTTGTTCTGCTATCTCACATCACGCTGTTCGTCCCTCCCTCGCTCCCTGCCGCCCCTTCCACCCCTCCATTTTTTCCTTCTTCTCATGTCTCAACTCTCCAAAGCGCAGTGAACGCTGTGCAGTGTTAAAAAGAGAAAGAGAAGAGCCCTAATTTCTCTCCTTTTCTTCTCCTCCGCTCGACAATCAACTGGCTTATTTCTTTTCCCTTTTTTGTTCCAGTTCTAGTGAACCCTACCGTCATCCCTCCATCTCTTGCTGCCTCCGCTCTGAAGCAAAAACTGTCTGTGCGCTTTGCTGTTCGGGCCAACTGCATAGATTTACTTCTCCATCTCCAGACATGCTTTCCAAAGTGAAGCACTGAGGGATTTTCATTCACTCTCTCCCCTCCTTCTGCCTCATTTTTGCGATCCCTCTATCCTACTTTATATTTCACCGTCTTAATCTGTCTGTCCTTCCTTCGACTTTCCCTTCTTGGCTGGACAATTACAATAAACTATCGAGCAAGAATTTTTTGGACGGTCATGTGCGGGAGATGGCGAAGTTCCATTTCAACCCAAACGAGCAGAACGTTTTCAAAAATGACTTTCTATGGCAAGGAAACAAATCTTATTAAAACAGCAAACATTATACCAATATATTTGTGATTATGACAGTAAATTGTGGTTTCTTTCAACCTTGATCGTTACCTCAATTTAAAGCTGCACTGATCATTATTTTCATATAAAGAATACATCAAATCTCTATGTGTAATGTGAAAGAAATCAAATCCACAGAGAATTATCCCCCAACTGCAGTTCCCCTTAGCTCCATGGAGCAAACGTTACAGTTTCCAGCAACAACAGGCAGATGATTTCCAGTAAAAATATACCAATATAATAAACAGACGGTTACCTGCTCAGCAAACAAGAGTTAGCAACTAGCTGGTAAACATAGTGGAGCAATGAGCTGCTAAAGAGTTGGATACTTCCCCGAGGGAGTTGGCAGAGAGCAAAATGTAGCTGAAAGGAGAATTTTGGAAGTACATTTGTCAATTGGAATTGCTTCTGTTTCTAAAAATCTGCATTTTTAATCTGCAAAAATCTGTTTCTAAAAATCTGCATCTTCATCTTCATCTCTTCAAGGTGATAAAATGTCAGTTTTGTGTTTCGAGCTTGTTACGCTGCCACCAAGGAATGCAGGTTTAAGTGATTTTGTGCCTAAACTTAACCAAAAGTTAGTGACGCCCATGCTGCGTTTCAGGTTCATCTTAACACCGTAGGTTTTCTTCGTTATATCAACAGCTAATTACAGTGAAAAACGCTATCTCTTCTTTCTCCTGCCTTCATTTTCTCCATCTGCTTCTCTTCCTATAAAAATGTTTGCCTTCTCTTTACAATTATTCTCCTCCTTCGTCTCTCTCTCTTTCCTTTCTCAGTTTTGTACTGTACGCACCTCCATCCCTCCACTGTCTTTCTCCCAAGACCTTCATGTCTCTTCTTTCTCTCTCCATATGCTGCTAGAAGAGAAGACATGGATGAAGGGTTGAGTTCTGAGCTCCCGTCATCTTCCCCTCCCCTCTCAGGCTCTCAAACTCTCTGCTTTCCAAACTACAGCATCTGCTGTGCATGTTGGACCACTGCAGTGGGGAGTTTCTGCTCCATATAACCCTCCTCCTCCTCCTCCTCCTCCTTTTCCTATATTCTCCCATTCCCCTTCCTCCTCGTCCACCACTACGCTTCTCAATTCCCACCAAAGTAGAGGTCAGCCTTTAAGTGTTCTATCATTGCAGAGAAGTGCCTCTCTCCTCTCTACTGTGGTTGAAGCTCCATCCGGAGTAAAGACTCGCTGATCTCTCTATTTGTCCTTCCCCAACTCCCTCCCTCACTCACTCTCTCTATCTCGCCTCTCTGTGCTCCAAATCGTCTGTTGGCCTTCTGCAATGACAACTCCTCGGCCTGTGTCCGTCTACTCTCGTCTTTCTTAACTACATCTCTCCATGACTTCCCTTCTGCTGTTAAGTGTTGCATTCGTGCACGAGGGAGTCATTCTAGCTCTCTCGCCGCCCTGGTATCTAATTCTCCAACTCTCCCACCCATCCTTCCTTCCATCTGGAGCACTCGCTCCTCTTTTCACTCACAAGTACCAAGTCTGTTGTGTGACGCTGGACTATTGAAAAGAGGCAGACTAGAAAACGTTGGAGCTAAGATTTAAACGTGTCAGGATTTAAGTTTCCTTTAAAAAAATGATTTGATTTTAAATATCCCCCTTTAGGGGCATTTTTGTTTTTCATCATGTCAACTAAAAACAGGAGACGTGTTTTTATTGCAATCACAGACATGTTGTCCTGGTCTTTACACTCAAACTGGGTGCTGTGCTTCTTTTCACTCCTGACAATGTTTTGAACCATGGGTTTGAGCCAACAAAGGCAAAAGTAATCATTAGCACCAAAGCGCCATATTTATAATGTCAGTCATTATTTACAGTGTCAGTTTTTCTTTTTTTCTCACACCGCTAGCCTTTTTAAAATACAGGGTCTGTTGTGTGATGCTGGACAATTTAACCAAGGAGTGGAAAGTCTCTCTTTTCAAAATATCATTAAAAAGCCGGTCTGGCTTAACAGCCAGTTAGGCCATCGGGTAGCAAAAAATTTATTAATGAGACAATTTGTCTTTTTAAAAAAAAAAGTAGCTGTTTGGATTGGAAACATTGAAGCACTTGTGTCCGTCAGATTCTGAGGTTTGTTTCCATCCTTTCATTAAACATTGTTGCACATATTGAGCACTTTGTGAATCATGCAATATTACATGTCGCTCGCTCTCTCAGTTCCCTAATGTCTTTGTTCGGGGTGTTTTCTCTTGAACAAAGCTTTCTGACCCAGTGAGTACAAAGTAGTTGTTAGTGCCTTGTTCAGAAAAGATGAAAAATTACATAACAATTACATTCATACGAAGCAGATGTGTATTAGCAAATATGTTTTGTAGAAAACATGTTTTTTCTATCAACATAGACCCCCTTTTTACATGCAGATACTTCATGCTTCTGGGGCAGATTGGAGGACAGCTATGTGATCAAAAGTGTGACTGCATCCAAGACGCATTCTAGATGATGATAAATCTGTCTCCTCAAGACGCATATATTATCATTACTCTGCCCAGTAAAGTGGAAGTATAGCCTCTAAACGGTCTATCCCTTGTGATAATGGCAGCTGAAGTGGCACTGAAACAAGCTGTCATATCTGCTCAAGAGATTCTAACACACGACACTGAAGGCGCACCAAGCTGTTGTGACATTCATCTGATCCCCGATTGGTTCAACCTCTTAATGTTCCGTATACGTGGGGGCACGAATGAACGCCTGTGAAGACTATAAAACTTGTGTCTCACTCGTAGTGCTGGAGCAAGGCCTGCGTTGATTTGCACGTAGCCTGGAAACACCAAAACAGATTGAAATCAGATCTGTGATCTGGCCAACAGGGATGCAGGTATGTTGCTATAAGTGTCAACAGAAGTGCATCAAATTGCACCTGGATTTTATACAGATGTGACGCGTGAACTGACATGTAAATGGAGCTTTAGTTAACTAATTTTGAAAGTATCGGCAAGCTGTTAACTCTCTCCTGGAAATTGAAGTATATTACTAAATTAGATTAAACAATAATTAGAGAGACTGTGGTCTTTGTTAACTATTGAAAAAGTCAACACTTACATGAAGCACATGCAGGGATGCTAACTTTTAACTTTGTCCGTATCCTAACCAATAGTTTTCTAACAACAGAACATATCTAACGAAGCCAATTAGTCGTATATGAATGTATTTTGTGCGGTTGCTTTATTGAAACTTTCATAGTCTCTCCATCCCCCTCTCACCTCTCTTCTCTCCAAAGTACAGGGTCTGCTGTGCAGTGTTGGACCATTGCAGTGAGGAGTTATCGCTCTCGGGCACATTGCAGGTCAGTGTCACAGTCCCCCCCACGGACACTGTCTCATCTGAGGTCACTGGCTGCAAAGGGTCGTCATCTAGGTAACGGGAGAGAGAGAGAGAGAGAGAGAGAGGAGGGGGGGTGAATAATCATAAGACAGAGTGATATAACTGCAACAGAGACAAGTCAGAGACACTGGGCTTATATGAAAACACAAGCGAAAAGACTAGCACAGACCAACACACAGATCAAATGAACCCACAAAGTGCATTACTTGCATCGCTCCCTCTCTTTCTCTCTAACTCTCCCCCGCCCGTCTCTTTCTCCGCTTGTCAGATTATCCATACATCTCTATCTGTCTTTCCTGAAAGCAAATACGCAATGCGTGTGCGTGCGCGCGCACACACACACACACACACAAACACACACACACACACACACAGACACACACACACACACACACACACACACACAGGGACATGCTGTCAGAGGGACAGAAAAAGCAGACAAATGGCGATCTGGTTGTATGTCTGCGAGGCCAATGTAAGAGCGATGAGTCAGGAGCAGCGCTGGCACCCAGAGACTGCAGGACCTGAGGGACCAGCAAAGATGAAGAGACCGCGGCGGAGAGTGGCTCTCGACAGGTCAGAGCAACAACAAGAGCACTGTCTCATACATTTAATGGCTTCGTAACCCTCTTTTGTCGATATCCGTGTCGGTTCCTAACGCCATGCATATGTATTGGCTGCTTCAGAACGAGCTCAAACGGGACAGGCATTATGGAAATGAGCGGGTCAGAGGGAAAGAGAAAGAGAATACAAATGACCCCGCATAATGAATTGATTCTAAAGGCTGGAGCTGGAACACCACAAAACCACTGAACAGTGAACTGGGTGTGTAACAGTATTCAAATTGGCTCAAATCATGGTATTTAACAGCGCTCCCTTGATAACGGGTGATGGTGCAGGCTAATTCCGCTCTTTGGATTCAGCGAGGCTGGCAGACGATTATGTGAATCAGAATAAGGGATGTATATTGAAATACGCAGCCCCTCGTATTAGTAAGTAATGCCGAGCCCGGCCGCTTTACTGTGCTTTTTGCCGGGTTAAGATATTGCGGCTTTGAGAGCCATGCTTTGAGCTCTCCCCTCCCTTCCCGCTCACTTCAAAACGTGCCAGTGCTTGCTCAACCTAATCTTAAGCAAAACAAAAATATGGTATAATTGACAACAAGACCAAGCCAACGGAGGGAACATCTCCTAAGAAGAAATGCCCTAAAGCGGTGTCCTCACCCCTGAAAATATGGCGTGTATAAATAGTCTAATTGGAACCAAATTGTCAAGCAGGAGACAGGTTTATATTCGGCGTGGAGCGTTATCACATCCTTGCACCGGCGGTGGAATTGATTTTTTTTTTTTTTTTTTGCAGGAAGAACATCTGTTTAAGTGCGCTTCGGCGGAACTCCCATCAAGACATGAAAGGTGTGAAGACAGGATGCAGAAGTGGAGGCGAGCAAACCAACTGCATGTGGCATCAAAAACACACATTTTCAGAGCGTGAGCTCAGGCAGGCGGCAACTTTTGGTATCTTTCTTTTGACATTTTAAAGCCAGTTTTATGGCCGGTTCAAAATCTCAGAAAAACACAAGTTGTTAGAGAAGAAAAAAAAAAAAAAAAAGTCTTCAGCTTGCCTCTGGGCTGAGAGGATTCAGAGGTAGGATTCACTCAGAGACTTCCAGAGCGCTGCGTGTCAGAGTAAGTCACTCCCTCCCCCTCTGTGGTGTTTTACTGCAGCCCTGACCTTGTGGTTAGTTTATCTAAGCACCATGATGGCTAAGGGCTGAATGTGTGGTCAAGTGCAGCGAGGATTAGTGTCTCCTTTAATAGCGTCTTGGGCTAATTCTTGCGGCTGATCGCAAGAGCTCCTCTTCTCGGCATGAACACTTTGGCTAAACTTGCTGTCCCAGTGCATCAATCATCAAGCCAACCACAATGAGCTGGCATTTCTGACCGAGAACAACCTGTGTTGCAGGCTCAGAGTGACACTTGTGCAAGTTCAGTCGTCAATTAGCTCTTTTACAGAATATGTAATATTCATCTGCAGCAAATCCAAGCACTGAGTTCATACGATCACCACTGGACTGAACGGCAGACGCAGCCTTCTCCCCGCTCAACTCATTGCCATTTTCCTCTTTAAACCTCCTTTTAGATATCCTCAAAGTATGTAGAAACAAAACATTTGTTCAACACTTGCATAACACCATCTGCATCTAATTTGTATTATGTTTACACCACCAGAAATTACAGAAAGTCTTGTGGGCTTAAACTAAGCTCGCCCTTGTAATAAATAATGACCCAGCCCACAGGTCCAGAGGAGCTGAAGAGGATAGCTTCCATAAATTCAGTGGCAATAGGTGATGATTTGGTCATTTCAAAGTCTTTTATTTCCTTTTCACGTTATTGATCTTGGGCACTGAGGGCCTAAAGGTTAGATAAGTGGGAAGGTGGCAGGAAGATTGCAGATTCGATCCATGGACTGGCAGGGGTAAATCTAACAGGCGAAGAAAAGACCCTGCAGCACTCGTGGCTTGTTCATTACCACAGCTGGAGTGCCTTTTAATCCCCGGCTACAGTGGAGCTCCGTGGCAAAACAGAGCAGACTGTGCGTGTAGTGGCTCACAAAAAGTTTCAATATAAATTAATGCGGGCTAATAAATAAAGGTTAATCTCACTCTTATTGAGTAATATGTTTTAATGATGATTAAACGGCACTCCGCATCTTGAATTTAAAGCTCCGCTAATGCTTACAAATCACTTGATGTACAGTATATGAGCGTGGTAGCAACCTTGTTAGGCCCGTCGGTCAAAATATTAATCACACATAAGTTCATTTAGTTTGAGAATTTGACTGCATGATAATGTATAAACCTTACAGCAATATTTCAAATGAACATAAGCATTCATTATATGTTCAGACGGGTGGGGTTAGCAGCAGTGTGCATTTAAATTGGCCCATTTGAAATAAGATCAAATTCTCTGTGGTTGACAAATGTCACAACACATTCAACTGTCCTTAGAGGAACTCCCAAACCATCCATCGGTCCATATTGGTTTACACAAACACTACAGAGTCACTCCCCAGCTGCATGACCCCCATAAGCCTCAGATACAGATACAGCTGTTCTTCTTACCTTTCAAGCTACTTAAGAGCAAAGTTATAAAGCGGGGGAATGAAGTTCAGCCAGAGTTTGAACGGTTAAGACAGGCTAAAACACCCGAGCTGCAAAAATGAACAGGCAGACCTATATCTATCCTTAGCAGACGCTAAGTTAAACACTGTGGCTCGCTCTTCTTTCTTCTCGCCTCGCATCCTCCCCTCCTACTCCCCTCCCCCCTCGAGGTGTAAGCCCACCGAAGACACAGGTATTTAAAGCAACACAATTTACACTTTCCCGCGGCTGGCAACAAGGTGACAGAGCGCAGAGCGCTGACTGGGATATGAAATCAAGGGAGGGGAGGGAGGAGGAGGGAGAGAAAGATGGATGGATAAGGGTATATAGAGGAGGGTGGGTGTTAAAATGAGGCGGTAAAGTGTTTGTGTATGAACAAAACGGGAGGGAGGAAGCCAGTGAGAAGTGTGAGGACCTCGAGGGGCCTCACGTGATAAAAAAAAAGTAGAGAGAAATATGGAAAAACTTAAAGGAATAGTTTCATCCCCCCTTTTTTTAAGAAGAGGCTTAATTACTTTCTTTCTGGGAGTTAGACGAGACGATCGATATCCATCTCAACCCTGCGCGAATACATACAGGGCGTGTTTAACGTAGCGTTAAGATTGGATGCAGGTGGCAAATACTTAGCCCGTACAAAGAGAGAAAACACACCAACAAAGCACTGACTATTAGGAGTTCCCTCACCATCACGAGGGAACAAATCGAATTATCACACCGTGTTCTCGTTTGTCGGTTACAAACGAAAACGGAAACGACAATTTGTAGCTTTAGACGGAATTAGGCGCTTAAACTAAAAAGGTCCACTCGGTTCCTGGTATCTGAAGAACCAAATTATATTCATTCTAGTCTGGTTGAGTATATAGTTCCTGTTTCATTGCTTCAGGTGCAGTCTACGTCTAGTCCACTGCTGCTCTCTCTTTTCATGACCGTTTGAGTCGCCCACATTTTGGAAAATGTGTAAATATCTTTTGGCTCTGTGATGTTGTGATGGACTCTCTTCACAGTTTTCTACTGTTTAATGGACCGAACGAACAGCAGATTACTCTCTGCTACCTGGTTTGCTTCCGAATGAGTGTTTTTCTCCCTGCTACCTGCTGCTCAGACTTTATATCGGGATGATGCGAGGCATAACAAAAAAACGTAGCTTTTCTAAGCATTGGAAAGCTTTTGCAAACGTTGAACCATAATGGTTTAGAAATGCATAATAGAGAGAGTAGAAATGGACCTTTATTGCAGTTTGAGGTGTCCTGTCTGTTTTAATGACATCTGTTAAGGTGGTCTGTGGGGAAAGAGCTTTTAAGGCGAGAAGGAATTTTAATTTGCACCTCCACTCGTACTCTCGGGAACGAAGCACAAAAAGTGTTTCCCAAAATTATTGAACTGTTCCTTTAATAAAATAAACCGCTTCCTTCACTCCTTGAAAAGAACAACAACAATTCTAACCACCTTGACCATCTCCATGTTCACGTGCCCCTCTCTTCCTTCCTCCTCCATCTGTCTCCCTCCCCCCCCCCCCCCCCCCTCTCCATCTGCCCCGATGTCCTGCTCGGTTTCCTCTCGTCCTCCCTCACCTCTTTGCCCTTCTGTCCAGCCTCCTGCACCTCTCCTCCCCCATTCCTGATAATCTCGTTTACTTCTTGGCGTTCTTAATTCCTTCTTTCCCTCCTTTTTTTCCTCCCTCGTTCTCCCTGGGAAGCTTTACAGTGTTGCTGCTAATTAGCGGCAGGTTAATGAACTTTATCTACTGTAAAACAAGTGTGTGCGTGTCCGTGCACTTTCAGCATGTAGGTCTGAGCTAAGTGTGTGTGTGTGTATGTGCGCGTGTGTGTGTGAGAGACGAGATTGCTATCTACATGTCCGTGGATGTGT